TCTTAATTATTAAGGGGTCCTTTGTTTTCAGGTGGTACCGTAAAGCCCAATAGCACTTCAATGTTCTTTACATGTTATGCGCTTGCGGCTTCAGGTTTCAGTTGGGGCGAGGGACTACTTGGAGGATCATGGGACTTAGCAAGTAAGGTTATAAGTACCTAAATTGGGATTGATAAGTAGTTGTAAGTATAGCTACAGTAAGTATAACCCTTGTTACTAAGTCCCATGAGCCTTTAAGTATTGCAGGAACAGACATGTTTCTTCACCTCAGGGGCCTTCGGCCCTACTTCTGTTGATGATATAAATCCTGCATTACCTTAAGGACCCTAAACTATGGGAATTAGGGTATATTCCTTATTATGGGTCATGCAGGATTTATATCATCAACCGTTACATCAACTTGACAGCAGGGGCAGGGAGTTGCTACGAGGCATATCGCCTTTCAAGATAGATTCATGCCAGGGGATGGCCGGGTGGTGGTAGGCTTCTGACTTTCCGTGGTGAGGTTTTGCCTTCGATCCCCTATACCCAACCTTTAAACTTTATGAGGTCTTATAGTTTAGTTGGAATCGGAAAGTTGAACCATTTATTTCTGTGGCTTATGGGGGGAGTAAGTTGCTGTGTTTCGAGACAGTTGCTTCCGGCTGTGGGGTTCAGTTTTTTGCATACACTCGCGACGGCTATGAGGAAAATGCGAAACCTAGGCCCTGACGTCAGCAAAAGAAAGCATAGGCATAGGCTGTGTAAGGCTTCATGGTTTGTCTAGGTCTTGCGACTTTGCAACTAGAAGGCCCCGAAGAGAGAGCTTAAGGGTTCGGTTTCGGGTTAAAGCTGTCACTGCTATGACGGGTCGATTGCTTCAGAAGCTTTAACCCTAAATGCCAAAAGCCTAAACCCTAAGCCCCCTAAACCTCAACACCCTAAACCCTAAACGCCCAAACTTAAAACCCGAAGCCCCCTGAAGCCCTAAACCTTAAACCCCCAAAGCCCAAAACCCTACACCCCTACTTACAGGATCATGGGACTTAGTGACTAGGGTTCTAATTAGGGTTATAGCTACTTACAACCCAAATTAACATACTTGTAACCTTACTTACTAAGTCCCATGATCCTCCAAGTAGGCGGTGAGGCGTTGCCTTCGGATTCCGGTGTACGTTTTTGGAGGTCAGGGCTTGGAGTCATGCCATTGGTGACAGGAAGCCGGAACAAAGGGTGCGGCGATGGTCGTACTGTTGATGACATAAATCCTGCATGACCTTCAGGACCCTAAACTATGGGACTTATGGTGTATTCCTTATAATGGGTAATGCAGGATTTCGTCCATCAACAGTACTTGTAAGAGCATACTGGTAGTTAGTGCCAGCTTTCGAAGCGGCTGTGACTGAAACCACGTGTGCATTCGAGCTCCAGGGCTGGTCAAGGGTTTGGCTTCTGCAGTGGAAGGGTGAAGGTCCGGTTGGAGGTTTATAAGTTCCCTCATACTGTTGATGATATACACCCTGCATTACCCATAATAAGGGCCGTACCATAATTCCCATAGTTTAGGGTCCTTAAGGTCATGCAGGATTTGTATCATCAGCCGTATGGGTTATATAAACATACTTGGAGAATTATGGGACTTAGTAAGTAAGGTTATAAGTACCTTAATTGGGGTTAGAAGTAGTTATAAGTATAGTTACCCTAAGTATAACCCCAGTTACTAAGTCCCATGATCCTTTAAGTAGTTACCCTACTTATAACCCGGGAGGCTTGGCTTAGCGCTTGAAGTCCAAAACCCTGAACCCAACATCCTCCAACTTGGAGGCCGATGTCCATGTGGGAGTTTCCGAAATTAGGGGTACCTTTAAAGAGATCCTGTAAGGGTTCCTTAAAGGGATCTTTAAGGGCTCTATAGAGGGTTTAGGGTCTAGAGTTTCCGAAAATTTGGGGGGGTACCTTATTTTGGGGTCCTTATAATAAGGATCCTACTATTTAGGGTACTAGATTAAGGTCCCCTATTCTCGGAAACTCCCATGTGGGTGGTTGTCAAAACTGTCTCTTCATGCAATACTTAAAGGATCATGGGACTTAGTAACTGGGGTAATACTTAGGGTAACTATACTTATAACTACTTATAACCCCAATTAAAGTACTTATAACCTTACTTACTAAGTCCCATGATCCTCCAAGCACGTCCAGGCCAGCGCAGAGCCGCCATGTCCCTAAACGACCCTCTCCGACCGCTCGAATTCCGATACTAAGCGTTCCACTTGATTCTGTGACGTCTTGCATCCAAAAACCCTGCAAGGTAGATTCCGAAGTTTTCGTGGGGAAGTGTGGAGTTTGAGCTTCGAGTTGTCGGCTTATGTCGTAGCAACTTGCAGATGTCCCCCCCCCAAGAACCTAAGCCTGAAGCCAGCCCAGAACAGATTCAGTTGGGGCATGTGTGATGATTCTGTTGATGATATAACTCCTGCATTACTTTAAGGACCTAAACTATGGGAATTATGATAGATTCCTTATTATGGGAATGCAGGATTTGTATCATCAACCGGTTCGACCATCGGTGTCCAGTAAAATGTGTTACGGTTCGCGGGTGGCCTTCGGTGGTCTTACGGTTGGTGATATAAATCCTGCAGTACCTTAAGGTCCCTACACTATGGGAATTAAGGTATAATCCTCATTATGGGTAATGCAGGATTTCTATCATCAACCGTACCAGTACCTTCTATCATCAACCGTACCAGTACCTTCGTTGCGGTTTTGTCGGCAGCTCGAAGTGCAGCAACACCCGATCAGTTGACTATCTGCCATAACCTGCCCTAGACCCTAAACCCCTAAACCCTAAACTCTAAGCCCTAAAGCCTGAACCCTAAACCCCAAACCGTAAACTTAAACCCTGAACCCCTAAGCCCTGAAACCCTAAACCCTAAACCCCTAAACTTAAAAACCCCTAAACCCTAAACCCCCAAACCCTAAACCCTTACTTACCCTAAGCCCTGAACTTCACCTGAACCTCGCTGCTTCCTCGGCTTCAGCTCTTGGAGAGAAACCTGAAGTCCCAGAGACTCCAAAACCCCTTAATTACTAGGACCTAGAGTAGGCCCTTATTCCCTTTTTAGGGTTTAGGTTCCCTTATAAACCCGCTTTAAACCAAAAAGGGCACCCTTTTTATTCCTGGGTTACTCTTAGGTCTAGATTAAGGAATATACCTAGGGTTCCTTTAAGGGATCTATAAGGGATCTATAGGGTTTAGGGTTTAGGGGACTCCAAAATCCCTTAGTTAAGGAATATACCCTAGGAGCCCTCATATGATTTAAGGTATATTCCTTAATTAACGGGTTTTGGGGGCTCTGAAGTCAGCAGCCTGAGATCCTACTTGGAGGATCATGGGACTTAGTAAGTAAGGATTCCTTAAAAGGGGCTCCTTAAAGGGATCTATAGGGATCCTTAAAGGGATCTCTGGGTTTGGGGTTTAGGGTCTACTTGGAGGATCATGGGACTTTGTAAGTAAGGTTATAAGTACCTTAATTGGGGTTATAACTAGTTATAAGTATAGTTACCTTAATTATAACCCTAGTTACTATGTCCCATGATCCTTTAAGTTGGGATCTAAGGACTCATATATGGGTTTACTGGGTGGCAACTTGGGAAGCTTCTTAATTCCCCTTTATGGTCCCTATTAATGTACCTATCCATAAATACTTTTCAGAGCCCCAAAACTACAACCCAGTTTAGGGTTTAAGGTTTAGTATTTTGGGCCCTGAGACCATACCATACAAGGCTTTTGGGCTATTGTGATCCCTAGGGAAAGCCCAAAAAAAATCTTCAACCGAGGAGGGGCTCATTATTTAGGGTTTCCGTGATTGCTTCACTTGCTGCAGTCGGGTTTGGGAGGCCTCCAACTAAGATCCCCACTACCCAACCTTTAAGCTTTTGGGGTTCTTACAGTTTAGTAGGAATCGGAAAGTTCAACCTTTTATTTCTGTGAAATCCCCCAGAAAGAAGCCTACAGAAATCCCCAGACCCTGTAGTAAAATCTACGACGCGACGTGGTCTGTTTCCGAGAACCCCCCCTAAGTTGGTCACGAAACGACATGAGAGCTTTGATGCAGGCATGCCCACGGCAAGAGGCCCGGGGCGTTCATAGTGGGAGTTCCGAGTTGAGCAGGGTTTAGGATTTTGGTTTGTTTTTCTCTCGTAGGGCTGCTGCAGTCGGGCTTTGTAGGGATTAGGGCTTCGAAGCTTCAAAGGGTTTTGCGCCGATCTGCTTGGAAGGGTTGTTATCGGTTATCGGTGCTTCTCAAGGCATCTTGTTCTGCCCCACCGACATGGGGGGTTTCCGAAAATAAGCGACCCTAAACAGAAGGATCTAGTAGGGGGTACCTTGGGGGGTCCTTGTAATAAGGATCCTACTATTATTTAGGGTGCTAAAATTTGGTTCCCCTATTTTCGGAAACCCCCACCGACATGTGCCTCGATGAGGTTCTGTAAGCCGTGCTGGGAATGCGGGAGGGTTGTTACAGTACGGGCGGGCTTGCTTTACCAACTCTCGATGGTTGGGTTTTGGGCTCGAACCCTCAAAAATTTAGTAGCTGAGTGGATACACTGTACACTTCTTGGCATAATATCACTCACTACAAAAACTAAAAGTATATACAGTTTCGGCGCTTATGAACTGAGCAACTCAGAAAAGCATGGTGACTCCTGGACTAGAGCCCTCCACTGAGAAGGCCGAAGCCTTGAAACCATACTCCATAGGACTCCGGGCCGCAACAGAAAACCTGAATTCTGATCCGTCAGAGCCTTTTTTTTGGGTGCCCTGGGCGGATTAGCCAGCAATGCTCCGTATAACCCAACTTTCCGGTCAGGAGCTGACGAGCCTTCCTCTTACGGAACTCAGCGACGTAAAAGCCTTGAAGCAGCGACTGCATCAGCAGCACGGCTTGCCGCCGCGCTTCAGGCAGAGGCTTCTGCACGAAGGCAGCACTTTGGATGATGCCGTCAAGTTGGAGACCGAGATGGATTTGCAGATCTTAATAGTGGCTTTCTCCGAACCTTCGGGAGACCAGAGGCGAGATCTAACCGAAGCGGCCTGGTTTGGCCATGTGGCCAAGGCAGGGTCGGTGTGCTCTAGTGACAGCCTGCGTGAAAACTCGGAGTCTTCTCATTTTGGGGTCCTCATAAGGAAGCCACGTGTTCTAAAGCTCTCAGGTTGAAGCTCTGCTGCAGCTCCCCATGGATCCGAACCCGGATGCAGCAAGAGATGCGGGTGGCAGCACGCCACTGCTGAGGGCGTCTCGAAATGGCCACGAGCAAGTCGCACGCTTGCTCCTGGAGGCCGGTGCTGAGAAGGATGCGAGTGACAGTGACGGCTGTACAGCGCTGATGCATGCAGCGTCGATCGGTTGTGAGCCAGTCGTGCAGCTGCTCCTGGAGGCAGGTGCAGAGAAGGATCAGTGCGATTCGGAGGGCCGGACTGCACTGATAGCTGCCGCAGCATACGGTCATGTTTCAGTCGTGCGGTTGCTCCTTGACGCGGGGGCTGAAGCGGACACGTGCGACCTTTCCGGCAATACGGCACTGATACTTGCCGCGACCCGCGGTTGCACTCCAGTCGTGCGGTTGCTGGTGGAGGCCGGCGCTACCTGAGGCAATCGCAGCAGAGCGCTGAACACGATCCGGACAAAAGGCTTTCAGCTGCGAGGGTTCTGTGACGTGTTTCGTGTCAGCAAGATGCGAGGGTTCCTGCTACCAAGGAAACCCCTCGAAAGCCTGTATGACGATTCGCTTTTCGACGAGGCCTCAAAAGGTAGGATGAAGGTAGGTGGGATATTCCCAAATAAGAGTCCTTATATAAGGGATCCTTAATCCCACCTACCTTCATCCCACCTTGTGAGGCTTCCGATGCTCTGCATTCGAAGAGGATTGCACCCCAGACCCGAGGCTTTTCAGCTTCTTTAAGTCGTCAGCCTTGCACGAAACTCGAAGCTCCGTTCAGTTTCAGGCTTCCGAAACTACAGTTGATGATATAGACCCTGTATGACCCAGAATAAGGAATAAATATACCATAATTCCCAGAGTTGAGGGTCCGTAAGGTAATGCAGGATTTATACAGTCAACCGTGGTTCTCCAAATTAGGGTGCCTGTTTAGGTGCCCAAAATAGTACGACACCGTTATTAAAAAGAGGACCAGAAAAGGGCTGGTACCTTAATTTAGAGAACTACCCTTGCGGAAATTTGCTTGATACTGGGATCATGGAACTTAGTAAGAAAAAGGCCATAAGTTCCTTGATTGGGGTTATAAGCAGTTATGGGTATAGTTAACCTTAGTGCAGGATCTGTATCATGAACATAGCTCTGTTACTACAGGGGCTTACCATTACTATTGTTGGGGTTCCTGATCATAATTATACTATAGAAGGGGCCTCAAACCTAATTCTAATTATTTAGGCTCCTATAGTAGGAAACTGACCCTTTGCGACCCGGTTGCTTCGGAGCCCTTCCCTCGCCACGCTCTGTCGGACTGTCCACGGAAGTTCCTGAAGCTTGCAGTTACGAGAAGGGGCCTTCATAAATAGAATAGGGTTTTGGGGTATCGTATACTAGAACTACAATAAGGAACCCCAAAGTAGTATTGGTAATTTAAAGGTGCCTATAGTAACAGAGTTGTAGTGCATGCGCACACCTTCCACTCATGTCAGAGGTAGTGTACTTGTGACATTTAAGACCAACTGAATCAGAGTTATAAAGAAAGGCAACGCAGACCAAAGGACAGCGCATCATCATCATCATCATCGTCATCATCGTTAACATCTCATGACCATCATCAGCAGCAACAACAACAAGAAGATCCATCAATAGTCAGCACCGCCCCAAGCACACTTGCTAAGCAAGAAGCGCTCTCAGGCTCGGTTCTGTGCATGGCCGCGAAACCGCCAAGGCGCATGGTTGAGGGTCCTCTTGTTTCTGCTGCTGGGGTTTACGGTTTAGGTTTAGGGCCCCAAGGAAGAGCCCAAACACGATAAACCTCGTAGTTTCTATATGCAAGACCCTACCTATCTCCCCGAACCCTACAAAATAGTAGGTGATGACCCCTTAATTGGAGGGTCTAACCCTTAAAACGGTAGGTTTTTGGATCCCCAGGTAGTCACCCAGTCTAACTACACTGGCCCTTGCATTCCGGCTTCAAGCTTCGTTGGAAGTTTATGTTTTGGGGGCGATTTGGGGGTTCTTATGCTCAAAGGGGTAAATGAGGGGGACCCCTACCCTATGATGGGCTATATAATGGGTCTATAATGGCTATATTAAGGGCATGAGGTGTTATCGATGCCCAGGATGCGGCCGTGATGATGGCAGCATGTGCTCTTTAGTTGAGCCCTTCTGGTCTTCGATATTGACTGTTTGGGATAGACTTTAGGAGCTGCCCCCACCCTGTAATAGTGGTATAATAGGAATATAATAGGGCCCTAATATAATCCTATATAATCCTTATGGTCACTATTACAGGGTGGGGGCAGCTTCTAAGGTAGACTGGAGGGTAGTTGGGAGGGCTAGGTTGAGCCTCACCTCCTGAACCAAAGCTTTGTTAATCAGGGGCCTACATGGGAGTTTCCGAAAATTAGGGGTACCTTGTTTTGGGGTCCTTCTAATAAGGATCCTACTATGTAGGGTACTATATTCGTGTCCCCTATTTTCGGAAACGCTCACAAAAAGGACTTATATATGGAAATCACGCCCCAAGAAGGAAGGTTTTATAGGGCCCAGGCGGGGTTAGGGGTTTAAGGTTTAGGGAACAGGGCTTGGGGTTCAGGGCCAGGAAGGGCGGATAGTATTTCGCAGGGTTCCTTACCCTATTTGTTCTTTGTCAAGGTCCCTACATGGCTTTGTGGCTGGGTCTTGGGAGGGTTTTAGTGTTGTCGGATTTACAAGTGTAAACGACCATAACCTACCTTTTCGTAGGTGCTTGTTTGAAACAGCGGTGCCAGGATAGAGACCCCAAACTCTCTCTCTCTCTCACGCATTCGGATGTCCGGGGCGGTCGCGTGCAGGCCAAAAACAGGCAAAGCCTGCAGCCAATTCAAACTGAAACGGAAGGAACAAACCAGCGAGGAGGGTGCACCACCGAGGCGTGCACAACAACCACGCAGGAAGGCTACCCGACCAGACGGGAAGAGCCCAAAACTAGCAGCTCAGGAAGAAGACAGCTGATGGGGAGCCGCGAAAGCAAGAGGAGAGGGCGGATGCCGAAAAAGAAAGGCAAGCCGCGACAGGGATGAACCGAGGGAAGCGAAAATCCAAACAGGATGATCCTGCAAGACAGTGAGAGACCAGGCGGCATCCGGGCAAATGCAACCCAAAGCCGCGCGAAGACAACTGCTGGGTGGCACAGCAGAGCACAAGGCATGACCCAACGGCACCAGGCGAGCAAGGTGCAGAAAAGTGAGTGTATGCCGCAGAAGAAGCTCAGGGCCCGTAGCGGAGATTCCCCCGGATACCGGGCAGTGAGCCGGGACGTCACGGACATCCGCAAGAGAGCGGATGGCCGCCCGGTAACCAGTCAGGATTGAGGGCGAGAGTGCAGCAGAATCGGCCATGGCCTGCCAGAACCGTGCGATGTTTTGCCAAATGTGTGGAAGCCACCAGCCTGCAGCTCCGCGCCGCAACCCAGACCAAAGGGGGGATGGTGCAAGGCCTTGGTCTTGAAAGAAGAAGCTTCTGCCAGCCAGCTGGGCAATCGCAAGCGCAGAGGCAGAGGCAGGCAGACATGGAGCAGTGGCCGCTTCGGATTCAGCTGCTACGGTGTGTGGGGGTTCCTCGGCCTCGAGGGAGGCCTGGGCCTCTTCCCACTCGACAAGAAGGGCTGCGGCATCCCACGGCTGATCATTGTCCAGGGCGAGCCGCTCAGCCGGGGTGGCATTGCGAGGACCGCACAGCTGAATCGGGGGCAGCCGGCGATGTTGCTGCGGGCCTCGCCGTTTCGTACCCGACCCGTATTGGTGGTGCGCCCCCACAGAGATCTCCAGGGGAAGGCGACATCCGGCCGAGGTGACGATGTGGTACTTGAGACGATCAGAGGAATGGAAGTCTCGAAGACACCAACTGCAGGTAGTACCATTGCAGAGCTCAGTGGCTCTAGCCAGGGTGCCGTGTTTGCGATGCCGGTGTGCCGCAAGAGCCTGGGCAGTACGTCCAATCCATCCGCACATTGGGCACTGCACCGGATTAGACTGGCCGATAGTGCCAGTTTGTGCACGGATGGCGCGGCTGCGCCAGAGCCTGTGGAAGGCAAGCAGCCCTGAGCCGAATCTGCCGAACCGTCGGCAGGCGCCTCTCAGGAGTCTGTCATGGGCGCGGGCAATCCGCATCGGGCTGTCACGTAACTGATCAGGAGACAGCCCCGCGAAAGTACCGACTGTGCACACTGCGTCCTTGAGCAGGGACGTCCACGGCAAATCGCGCTCACAAGAGGCCTCAACAAGATCAAGGACGGCAGCAGGGGCAGTGGTGGCGATTTGAACTGCAAGGCGCGCCCGGCACAGGATGGTGGCGACTTGCGGTGTGGCGGCCGGCACCAGGACGTCGAGCGCCTCGCGCGTCAGGTGGTGGGAGACAGACCAGGAAGCAACAAGGGATCGCTGGCATCTGTCAAAGAACCCCTGGTAGATGGCACCCGCAGGCGGTACATCTCGGCAGTCTCAACTACAACCCGTGTAACGACAGGGACCTCGTCAGCAAGTTGGGTTGCCGAGTCGGCGTCAACCAGGACCGAGAGATCATCAGCCCAGGCGATCTGAATCGGTCTGCACGGGCCACCTACGGCCTCAGAGGCTGAGCGGTGTCCAATCTGCAGGGACACAAGCTGTGCCTCAACATCATCAAGGATTTGTGCGAAAATTGCCCCGAAGAGCACATCCGCCAGTCCGTCGCCAGGCCGGCTACCCCTGCCAGCTAGGATGATGGCATCATGACCGCAGAGCGACCAGTGGGAGCAACGTACGCAGTCCTCAAGGAGCGCACACACATCCTCGGCCATGCCTCGGTGACGGAGGACTCCATCTGCGAGGAGGCCAGAAACGAGGCGGGAGGCCTCTCGCTGCCTTGCCCTGCCATGGTCCTGGCCAAACAAGAGCTGTCTGTCCGCCTCATAATAGGCAGCTTGCACATCCAGGAACAAGGCGAACCACGAACGACCCGCGAAGTCACTCAAGGCAACAAGCGATCGAAAAGATGCCACAGCAAAACCGGTGTGCACTCTACGGCGGCCTCCCAGCTGGAGCGGATGATAGGCGCAGAGAACTTGCTGTCCCAGGGAGTTGCGGACATGCCCGTGCCATATCTTCGCGATACCATTAAGTAACGCGATGGATCTATAATTGCTGGGGACACTGGACCAGAGCAGCCTTGAACTGAGGGGGCTCCTTCCCTCGACCCGCAATGTCCGCGCACAGCATCCACAGCCATTGGGCCGCCGCGACCGGCTGGCCTTTCCACAGACCGTTACTGATTCGGTCCGGCCCGGGCGCTTTGCGAAGCTTTTGTCGTCGGCATTGATGCTCGACATCGAGGAGTGACGGCAGGGCCCCAGAACACGGCCTACAGGAGCTTTCAGAAGCTTTGCGGAGCTCAGCTTGCAGTTCCTGAGCAGTGAGGCGCTGACCATCTTCCTGTTGTTGGAACTGCCGGAGCAAATCAGCATCAATGTCATGACCTCCGGCAGCAAAGACCTTGCGTCGCTCGGCAGCGCGCTTAGAGGCCCAGCGGAGCCGGTGAGTGGCTTCCATGGCTCGCCCGGTGTCGAGCCAGAAGTCGGTGGCACTCTGTGTGAGCTGCTGGAAGTGGGCAGCCTTGTCACGTCTGGCGAGCCAGTGCGCGTGCTCCTTCATCCTGAGAACCGCTAGCCAGGTGCGGGCGTAGGCGCGGTGCCCATTTCGCACACACTGTCGAACATGGCCCCGAGGGCGATCTGGCGTGCTCCAGATCCGAAAGGCCAAGTGCATCAGATTACGACTACACACTCGTGCGTGAGATCGGAGCTGCCGGCGTCGCTCCTTGAGGGCAGTGAGGACCGTGATAGCTTCATCAGAGATGTACGGCTGCCGTGGCACTACTCTGTCAGGGCGCTGCTCAGCCTTGGCAAACCGGTGGAACCTCTTTGTAAGAGCTGAGGTGGCTCTCTCAGGATCCCCGGGGTAGGAGAAGTTTTCCCACACACGACTGGCGATGGCAGTAGCAACTGAGTCAGGGGGGATAGGTCGCCGCCTTCGGTCCTGGGCATTTGCCACCGTTTCTGCGCAGATTTGTAGGCCGCAGGAGATCGGAACGTGATCCAGAGTGCTGTTGATGATATCAAATTCCGGAAGGCACTGCGAGGATGTCGCACGGATAACACCTGCAGAAAACAAAATATGATCGTGTCGCCGGCATTTGCCGGAGGAGTGCTGCCATGTCCAAGTTTGCCCTTGATGCAAGCGGCTCCAAGTAGCGGGTGCCTCAAGGAAGTGGTCCTGTGCGAAGGAGAGAAGTTGCAGATCACTCAATTCCGATAAGGAGGGGAGTGGAGAGAGGCAAGGCATGAATCTCACGCCTCAAGGCGGACCAGAAGTCAACGATGTCCTGCTGAGGCCTGTCTGCATGAGGTGCATGAGCAGAGATGATGACGACCGGAAAGGCAGGCCGTTGACAGCGGATCGCCAAATACCTGGGGGAGGAAGCCACAATGCGCCAGTCTTGGAGCTGCAGATCGCCGCCAAAGGCACCTTGGTGGACCCAAATTTCCACCCCGTATTGACCCTTCTCATGCCCACTGCGCCAGGTGAGATAAGGGCCGGCGACATACCTTCCGGCATTGCTCCGACACTCCTGTAGACAAAGCACATCGAGGGAGAGGGCTTGGGCTTGCTTCCCCAAGAAAGCGCGGCGCTGGCCGCCCGCCGCAGCGGAGAAAAAGAACTTGCGATCATCCTTGATGGTTTGGATGTTGGCTGAGACGACTTTAACCCTTGCACAGTCCCGTGCAGCTCCAGCGGTCGCTTGCCCATGGGACGAGGGTTGGGCGTGCAGCTCAGGGACGAGCTGAGGACAGGTCTGGGAGGCAGGCTCTGGCTCAGCTCTGGGTCGACAAACATATAACCGCGGCATACCGCCTTGCATGCGGCAGCGGCGTATAGCCCATAGCCACGGCCCAAATTGTTCCAGTCGGGGAAGGAGGCCGGCGGCCGTGCAAAGCGGGAGATGGTGCCATTCCAGGCCGGAGGCGCCTAGGGAAGCCAGCGAGTCCGCAACCTCATTCACTAACACCCCAACATGACTAGGGGTGTGGCAGAAGTGCACGGCTTGCTGTGACTGGACTAGCTGCCACAAGCGAGCAAGGGAGATGTTGCCGCCCTCTCCTTCGGGGTTGATGAGCCTGTGAGCACCTCCTGGTGCATAAGGAACAAGTCTGACATTGTGTTGGCATTCAGCTAGATACCCCTTGCCCGGGTATCCTGCAGACGGCCACTGAGGTATCTCCCACTGATCAGGATGGCCGTGCCAATGAGGGTAGCCGTTCACACCCCTGCCGGCCGAAGCCCATGTGGTGGGAGGGCCATCGGTTGCAGAGCAGAGCCGAGGCAAAGCGGCTCTCTCAGGACATGAAGGCCGATAAGTCCTACCACTCCAACCAGCGCAACTCGGGCGAAACTGATACCCGACCTTTTCCCTCCGGGGGGATGCAATAGGAGTCTTAAACCCAGGCTAACCCCTAGAACCCCGAAGTGTGGGTCAGCGCTACTGGGTGCATCGCTGGCTGCGTCCTCATCAACAGCCAGCCAGTCCCCGTCTCTGAGCTCGGGGTCCGGGAGGTCGGGTAACTTATCGTTGACTCCAGCAGAAACAACATAGGCGCCTTCCTCCAGGTAGGCGGCCGCTTCAGCCTGGTGCAGGTGCCGACAGACAGGGGTGTCACCGGAGAGAAGCACAGTTCGGCGCAGCTTGTCGGCGGAGCGACGCAGCAACCACGGCTTGCGGCTCGGACGAACTGGCATGGGCACCCAACGTCCGTTGAGGGCCCGGCCGCCTGGGCTTCGAATAGTCATCCCTCTAGGGTCCCAATGACTACCTGCCGGGATGGTCACGGCAGTGGCCGTAGTATCCGGCGACCATAAGACAACAACCCCAGAGTGAACAACCAGAAAGGTGTTGTGCCAAACCGCCTCCTGCCCCGCTTCTTGCCAGTCCCGGAACCAGGGCCAGGCCGCCGGCTGACGAAGTGGGTGAGCAGAAGCCAAGGCAATGGAGAGTCGGTCCCCGTTACGAAGGTACAAGTTGGAGTCGATGGCGCCGAGAATCAAACACGGGAGCGGAACATCGATACGGACCGGCACACCAACCCGAACCGTCATGGCAGTCTTGAGTGCATCAAGGGTGATGACAGTGGGCAGAAGCACAGCAAAGGTAGTGCCCAGACCATCGACGATGACTGTAACTACTCAGCAGGGCCTCTGACCACAAGCTGCAACGATCCTCTACACAGGGGTGGGTTACAGACTGCAACCCCCTGAGTACCGGTTGGGGAGTGCTGCAAGGCAATAGCTTCAATCTGCTGCCAGAATGCTTCTATCCTCACCGAAACCGCTGCGGTAACGCCTGCAAAGGGACACCAAACCTGGATAGGACAGCTGTCAGGACTGGGGCCAGCCAACTGTGCAATCAGAGGGATAGCGTGCACTCTGCCTGCTTCATGAACAGGTAGATCCCGCAGCTGTGCGCTCACCGGGGATCTAGAGCGATCTCTCGAGCCAGAGGCCGGCTGACTGCACGTGTCGTCAGCGACCGTATCCATGGCTTGGCTGGCGCTCAAGATGCTTAGCAAACTTCCCAGCCGTATAAGCGGATTGTCCGACAACACGGAGAGGATAGCCACAAGGAAAGCTCTGGACAGGGCCTGGCTGTGCGACACGCCTGAAGCACTGCTTGCGGGGTGGGCGTCAGCAATGTTCTCCTCGGAGGTTCGCGGAGTATGTGAGGCGCTGAGAACAATGTCCCCGTCACGGAGAGTGAAGGGTCGGCTGGCGCGTAGCACACCTCCCACGATCCGAAGAGTGGAAGGCGCGGCCGACAGGGCTGTGGCAAGGCTTTCCTCTGTGCACGGGTTGTCAAGGCAGACACATGAGCAGCCCCCCTCGCTCTCATGGAGCACAATGGCTGTGTCCTGGTGCGCAGAGGCGCAGACGACAAGATTGGGCACCTCATCATTGACCCACGGCACTGGTACCCAGGACCCAGCTAGATGGCTTAACGGAAAACTGGAGAAAGTGAGCAGGTCGGGGTCCCATGTGCTACCGGCCTCAACCGACACTTGTTGTGGGATCTTGTCCCCCGGCCTCCAAAGCCGTACCCGAACTGGGGCGAGGATTCGAAATGGCAAGCTCCATGGCACAGCGTGTCGGAGGAAGGATTCGTCATCTGTAGCTGTAGTGCCCGGTCCCGTCACCATTTCAGGAATGGCTAAGATATAATCCCCAGATCGCAACTGCTTGCCTTGCTTGCCTGCGGATTTGCGGCGGCCAGGCAAGAGCAAGTGCATGTCTGCCAAAGACATGTCTCAGAGCACGCAGCAGCCATTCTACCGTCACGACTCGCGGTGTCAGCAGCGCAACAGTGGCGTGCCAGACTCTCGCAACGATACAGACAGTAGTAGGATCAGGAGGGGTCGGGACAACCGTGAGCTCAACCGCAACTGGAGCTGGCCAAACTGGAGCATAGCCATCTGCCCAGAGGATCCTGTCCTTGTCCGCCCGACTGAAGGAATGGGTGCAAGAAGCCTCAGCATCCACAATGACTGCTTTGCCCGCGCCCCAGAAGGGGCTAAGGCAGGCAACCTGGCATTGCCGTCCCTCGACAAGCATGAGTAAGTTCGCCTCATCAAAGTGCGCACGCCAAGGAAAACGACCGACCCTCACCAGGTTAGTGTGCAACCCTTGCCTAACATAGTCAGGAAAGAAGGGGACAAAGACGGGACCTGTGGAGCGCGGCTCGAACATTGCAAAAGCCCCGGTGCACAGCCAGCAAAGCAGGACCCAACGCATTCTGCCGAGACCAGGCGAAAAGAGAGTGAGCCAGAAGAGTGGCATCCTCCCTGTGCTCCTACTGGTGTATGAGCCGTCGGAGGCGGGCTCTGGCCGGGGAGGCCCAGCATATGCAAATCGAACGCAGTCGCCATCGCGCAGATTCATGGCAGCAGTTGCCGTAGTTGAGCCCGCTTCCTGAGGTGTGCGAAGGCTGATGCGGCTACCCTCCAAGGTAAGATGTTGGACATCATCGACCGTGAGGTGGGAGGGGAAAGAAACAGCCCAGAGCCGTTCGTCATCGCCACGCAGGATCACATTGGCACGAAGAGGGTCGACGGCACGTGGAATCATATGAAGTGCTCCGCAGTCGGGCTGTGGACGGACAGGGACTAGGGCTGGCCATCCCCTCAGCAGGGCATGGTCCTGCAGAAAGTCATTAGCCAAGGCAGCCTGACCTGGGCTTCCAACTGGAAGCCAAAGAGGGGCGCATCCCTGTCGTTGAAAGGGATCATGCAAGCGAAGGGGGACACGTGCAAGTGAAGCTCCCAAACGGACCCCCATGCCAGCGGACTCTTCCGCTTGCAAGTAGACACACTGCACATGCTGAATGGAAGGCGCATCAGCGACCCGGAGAAAATTTAGGGGTTGCTCTTCCGAGATTGGGGCAGAGGTGCGCGCCCTGCTGTCCTCAGCAACGCTTACCGCAAGTGGTCTGCCAGGAAAATGGCCGAGCGTATGCGCATGCCGATGCTGGCCGGTAGACCCACAAGGCACTTGGCCTCCTGAGTGAAGGAAGGGCATGTGTCGACCGGCACACAGGTGATCTCGACCGACTTCGGTCCCCCGCCAAAGTGGGCGCTCCCCAGATTGGAAGGAGAAAGGCAAGGGGCATGACCCAAGTACGTGCAGCCGAGTGCCTCTGCAAGGCAACTCCAGCAAAGAGACAGACACCGGGCACAAGAAGGTCAGGCTTAAGAGATCCTGAGTTCTCGGTCCCGCGAAAGGTGGGTGTGGTGTCGCCATCTCGGCCTCGACCTTGCAGTAAGGGAACCTCTGCAGAGGGCAAACCTTCGGCCGCTGGGACATGCGCCTGGGCAGCCAGGGCAGCGAGTTGGCATTGCATATCCTGGATAGCCCACCAGACATCGTCTAATGTAGCCGTTCCCGGTTCCGTTTGGATAGCAGCATGCCGTTGTGAGACCAACGACGGGCAGGCCTGGAGGGAAGGACAACTGTTCCGTAGGCAAATGACAGCTTCTGCTGGGACCCCACAGGCAGTGGAGCTCGCAGGGCCAGCAGGGAAAGCTGGCTGGAATGAACTAGGGCCAACGGCGAGGCTGAGTGCCCACCTGCGGTGACCACCTGTACCAACTCCCTCGGCGCCTTGTAGCAACAAGTAAGCATTGATGGGCGCTTCCCGTATAGGGCCCGTTTGAAGCATCCGGGCTGGCAAAGGAAATAGTAACTCGAACACCCATGGATCAGGAAGTGCCAGATATGCAGTATGACGGGACCGTAGGTAGTGCAGAACGACGAGATCCCCATTCCTTATCTGAACTGCCTGTCCATAGGAGTACCCACAATTGCCAAAACTAAACCCGAATGACTGTAACGGGGTGGCATCACGAAAAACATCCGCGACCCACCTTCCGAAGGCAGCCCAGTCGAAGTATTGCACATCAAAAGCAAAAACCGCAGCGCGGCCGTCGAGCTGCACGAAGCAAGCAGCCATTCCAGAATGGCCAAAATGCAGGAGTACATAGGCAGCGTCGTAGACGGCTGGGTCAGCCGCACCTCGGATGGAAATGAGGGTGCCCCGCTCGACCCCGAACCCTCCTAGCTGAACAATGCCATGAATTTCCTCCTCAGTCGGCCAAGGAGGCCCTGACAATTGAATGGAAGATGGATGATCGACGATCCAGATGCGGATGGCCGTGTACACGCGCACCTGTGGGATCTGGACTGCTTGTTGCATGGAGTTCCCTGTCCAGACCTCGACATCAAGTAACCACATGGCGACCAGGCCGAGCTGGCGGCCGGGACGGATTCCAGTGGAGACCACTTGTGCTCCAGAGACCCCTGGCAACCCAGCGAAGAGAAGGCAAACCAGGCTGATGGTGCTCATCAAGGGTCGTGCGACTCGCCATGCAGAACTGAGTGCAAGTATGAGCCCCCCTTGACCGAGCGCCGCAGTAAAACCATCAACCGGATTGACAACAGTAGCCCGTGCTCCCTGAGGTGGAATCGTACAGCGTGCCAGCCGGCTGTGATGGGCCAGAGCATTGACTTCGCCCGCAGAATTCGTAGTAACCGCCAGCCGATGTCCAGCACAGGGAAACCATATGACTGGTCGAAGGAGCTCGCGACTAAGTAAGTCACGGACAATCCACCAGCTACCTTGTCCTCGCGGCACAGCCACTAGCTCAAGCATATACGGGTCTGTGTCAGCAGCCACAAACAAATCTTGTTCCTCGGGACAAAAGCCGCCTAGCCTGAGAGCCTGGTCAAACTCAGATGCAGTGTCTGTCCACCTAACCAAAGCAGGTCCTCGCATGGCGGTCCAAAGCCGAAGGTCATGACGTGCTGCCCCGAGCGAGCATAACCAAGGGTAGATATGCTGAGGGTCGAGAGGGAACATGGCGGCCGTTGCACTGGCCTCGAGGACAGGCGTTAGGAGAAGATTCCAGCAATATCGTCCCTCTGATCTTCAACTGCAACAGTGGAGATGGGGAGAGAAGGCTCGCTGTCGGTGGCATTGGGATTTGAAGATTCTTCCGATGTGGAAGAAGCCTGCTGAACTGGTCGCGCAGTGACACCGAGGATCCACCCGAGGGAGAGCCATTTGAGTGGGGCCTTCCCAAGAGCCCAGAGAGCGACACTAACGACCGAGGCAGCTTGGTGGGCCGGGCCTTGCCCTAGAACCTCCCGGCCGCTTTCACAGGTCTGATGCAATGTAAGGCATCGCCCCGTGGCAGTGCTCAAATCTTGAGGGGATCTCCACCATTGGTCCTCAGTTGTGACCACAAGGTCAGCAGCATCCCACGGAGTGAGGCCACTGAGGGAGACCACCGCGTCCCAAGAGACCTGGGGAGTGCATGCACCGCTCCATCTACCCTCGATCTTCAGGGCCCAAATCTGCATGTGTGGACACAGCGGACAACACACGTCACGTCATCGGCTTCACACCGGATGACTCGGAGGTCTCCGTCAGCATCCTGGAGATGTGAGGGATGACAGACCGGTACTGCAACCCGAAGAGAAGGGCTTCGGACCGGTGAGGCGGCCCTAGTGGCAGCAGCACCTTGCCTGGAGGCCGGACTGCGACCTGATCCGGCTAGCCCGGTGGGAGTCCTAGTACGCAGAACTGTTGCCCTTTGACGGTGGACGGAAATGCTGTCTCCAGGAAGAGCTTGCAGGTCAAATGCCATGCGAACAAACAGGGTCTTGGTGCCCGTTCCTTTGGCACACAGGCCATGCACGGTGTGGACGGTCCTGAGGTCTGCGGTGGACACCAAGCTGCACACTGCTCTGGCTGAAGTAGACGTTCGTGCACATGCTTCGAGCACATCGACCGCGACAGAGAAGGAACCAACAGCGGCCAAGGCTAGCCCAGTGTTGGGGTTGCCAAAATGGTCGTGCAGCCACAGGACGGCATTAGTGGCACCAGCTACAATGGTCTGGAAACATGGAAAGCCTACCATGTTGGAGAGCTCCGGGACCTCCACAGCCTGCCTAGGCACATGATTCCGCTCCCGAAGCCATGCTTGAACCGCACTGTGAGGGCTTCGGCCAGTGACAGTGTCGTGCAGAATTTGCACACCGCGATGAACCGTCAAAACCGCAAGCTGGCGATACGGCAGCACATCTAACCACCGAGATGGCCGAGCGAGCTCAGAGTAAAGGAGAAAGCGGCTAGCATCAGCTCGCCCAAATTCCTTGTCAAGCTCAACCCGAATGACATCGCCATGCCGGAGCGGCGTAGCCATCGGCAGGAAACGCACACAGTCGGATCGCAGCTTAGCCTCACACTGTCTCAAGAGGAAGTCCTGCGGAGCTTCACGAGGCACATCGATGCAAATGCAGGATGTATCCGATGCGAAGAGTGTTGTGCGATATCCCGACTCGGTGGTAACAGCGACGAAGTGTACAGCCAGAGCGTGTGGTGACGTAGCTGCAGGGACAACTTGGCCTCGGCCCCATGACCTAGCTTTCTCGGTGAGTGTCTCACGAAGGCGATGCCTAGACATAGATCCTGGGACTCTGAATTCCTCAAAGTGCTCCGGGGCCCAAAGGCAAACATTGACCTCTAGATCATGATGGAGGGTGCCATACCCAGAGACAATCGGCAGAAAGTCACCCTCCAGGCCTGTGACAAAACCTTGTTGCAGTCGGAGGTGCATCGAGGCATCGTGATACACCAGATCGGGTTGGAACCGGGGAAGAGGCATGGTTCTAGCCGTGCCAGTCAAATCGGTAGGCTCGCTAACCGCACGACCAGCAGAAGCCAAGGACGCAAAGTACCCGGCTAATAGCACATTCCTCAACCATCCCTGTCGAAGCAACCCGAGACTGATCCATCCAGCAGCACTAGGGTTCGCTTGAAGTGCTGGGGCTGCCGTGTTACCACCAGGATGCAACAAAGTGGCGTCCGCCGGCGGCTGCGTGGCGGTCTCGGTTCTGGCCCTAGTCTGGCCCACTGTGTGAGATTTGCGGTGAGGGACAAGAGTCAGGCACACAGGGGGGTCACTATCAAGGAAAGTTGTGGGAGAAATTACAACTTCCTGATGGATGAGCCTCAGTTGACCCTCGTGTAGTCCTCGCAGAATCTCAAGTCCTGTGGGACCCGCTTGCCTGAAGGTAGGGAGTTGCATAAGTACATCAGCAACAGGGGTCCGGGGTCCCAAGTAAACCAGACTAATTTCACCCCCAATTGCCCGGGCATCGACTACATATGTGACCTGAAGAACGGACTGCTCGGCTTGAGCGAATTGCAGTGGCGGCAGTCCAGGCATATGCGGCCGTACCCTTTGCAAGCGGAGAGGACCAACATCTCCAACCGCTTCGTACGCTTCACGAAGGAGTTCGTCCCGATCTTGGAACGGGTCCGTATCGTAGAAAACGAGACCGGTGAGCGTAATGATCACAGCTCTGGCATGGGGATTGACAATCAATTCAAAACCCTGATTAGTTCCATCAAAGGAGCTGACCGCCATTCGATGCTCCGCTGAGTGAGCAGGACTGCGGCTGCCTCTCATCTCTTCGGCATACACAGGTAGTGCTTGCAAAGCATCGTTGCCGTGGAGGAGGAGTGCCTGACTCTCTGGCTCAAAGAACCCATGTCGAGTGCGGCATACAGTAGAGGCGAGATCTAAAGCCAGATCCTGGCTTCTAGCGGCAGCAACCAGAAAGTAACTGGCCAACTGTTGACGTGGCCCCCGGACCACCGAAATGGTACCTCCAAGGGCACAGAGGTCAACTGGAATACATGCCTGGTTCCATGCCACATCATTAGGAATGACGACAACCTGCTCCAAAGGCAAGGCGGGCAGCAACGTCTGGAGCTCATGGACATGCCAGAGCTGGAATGACAGACCCACAAGCTGCAGAATGACCCTGTGCAGCTGAACCCCGTGCAGTCGCGTATCAATCGCAACTTGAATCGGACCTCCAGACGTATGTCCTGCCACAAAGACAGCGATGGGCCTAAGGCAGTAGGGCTCGGGGCTTCCTGGGTTAGGGAGTCCAGCAACAGCACTGATGAGGGGACCCTCAAGTTCATGCAGCCCATGGCCCGCGGGACAGTGCCAACAGTGAGAAGGGACTCCCCTCGAAATCTCCGACTGTGTCTCACCTGCACGAGTGATGTAGCGTCTTGGGCCACCCCTATGCAGCTCCCAGAGGCAAAAGAGCAGGAATGGTCAGAGCTGCCGATGTCTGGCTCGGTCCGTGGCTGAAGTGGAGGACCCGATCCGCCGGCGTGAACATGGGATGAGGCGATGAGCCACAGCAGAAAACCGACGCGCACATGCTTGCCACTGCCTGCCTTGCCCGGGGTGCCGCTTCCATGACCCTTTGCCCGGGAGCGCTGAAAGGAGGAGCACAAGCAGGCCGGACAGAGGGAGAGGCAGAAGAGAGGCCCAATTCCAAGGCACAAGCAACCGAGGAGTCGATGGCACAGCTGTCGGGCAAGAAGAGCAAGACTTCCCAGGAAAATCACTGTACAGATTCGCCAAAACATCTGTACAACTCCCAAGTCCAGCCTCCGAGTTATATTCCGAGCTTCGTCTCCGATTGCGCTGCGACTCATTCGAAGGGACAGTCCTGTTCCAACAGGATCAGTTCCACGTCGTCTTCTGTCCGAGTCGTTGTCAGATGTCCCTTTGGTTGCAGGCCTTGCTGGAGTACCACATGAGGGTTTGCCCACTCCTGCAGCGTTTGCAGGGCAAAGTTGGCAAGTCCCGCCACTCTTTGGTTGAGAAGGTGGGCCAGAGCTACCAATCCTTGCCTGCATGTGGTTACCAACACTGGCTGCGAGTGTATCATCCCGCCGAGGTGTTGTAACTCTCGACATGACTTGCAGTATGTGGTGGCCTTTGACCTCTTCGGGATGCTCCGCATGTGCACGCAAGGCCTGCCAGAGGGTCTCGGCCTTTTGGTGGCACTCTTTGATCTCGTCGGCGCTGGCAGGTTGTCCGGGCAGATGCACCTGTTCCAGGTGCCCCGGAACATCGCCGACCAGATCCGAGCCTTGGGCCGTGATGCGCTGAGCCATGGCGACCCACGCATGAAACCACGCTTGCTGAGCAAATTGCCAGTCTCGCTCGCCTTGTTCCGCATCTGCAGAAAGTCCAGATGGGACTATACCTCCTCTTCCAGAGATCCTGAAGCGGCATCTGGGGCGTGATCGCCAGCATCGTCTGCTTTGAATATCGCCGCAGGCTTGTTCATAGTGGGCGATCTGCCCGTGGCCGTCGATAACCAAGGTGACGGCACCTCCGCCTCGCGCAGAATCTCCGTGTGACCATCTGAGGCGATCTTGCCAGTCTTGCGGGGGCTCTTGGAAGGCCTGGTCGAGACCGGATTCGTCATCCTCTTTTGACCCCATCTCCGTCCCAGGCCTGTGCCAACCGGGGCCGATGTGTCCAGAGTGTCCGGGCTTCGTGCCACCGCCGCGTGCTGGGCGCCAAAGGAGGAGTCCAGGGATGGTATCGAGCTGGCAGGGACAGAAGCAAAACTGCCTTGCTCTACCAGCATGCCTTCTTCTGCATGCCCAAAGAAAAGGAGCGCTGCATGCAGCTGTGGCATACTCGATGCTGGCGGGGCGACTGCACCAGCCGCACGCAGCTCCGCAGCCAACCGAAGGACTTCGTGCCCGACCACGGCAGGAATCGCCGGCCCGAGCACCTCCGTCGCCTGCTGTCTCAGGGCTGCCGCTTGCCCTGCCACCAGCCCTTGTAACGCCATGTCCAGAGCCATGATGGCTTCCTGGATATCTGCATCGATCTTGGCCCCGACTCCGTTGATCTGGCGTGGGATAGCCGCCAAATGGCGTCCCACCTTGTCCAACCAGGCTGGGAGCACTGTCTGAAGCCCCAGCTTGGCTTTCGCATTTGCTTCGAGACGCTTGGTCGCGCGGGCAACTGCGGACGCTTGGAAGTTGGCTGCTTGAATAAGAGTTCGATCCTCGTCCACGGTAAAGTCGTCTAGTCTCAGGTCCGACGTGGACCTGTCGCGAATAGACTGTAGAGCCGCAATCACCTCCTGCGGGAATCCCAGCTGAACCGTGGACGTAGTCGGCAGGGGCCCCTCCGGCTTGTTGTTCTTGCTGTCTCCCTTGCCTCGGCCCCGTTCTTTGGAGGGCGCTCCCTTGGGTGGCATCGACCCGTGGTGTTGTAATAGGAGAACGCTGTCCCTCACTGTGCCTCGGCCTCGGCGGAGGCGAAGGCGGGCTTGGAGACGCTGCCTGCGTCTCCGCCTGTGCCACCCTGGTTCTTGGAACCTGCAGATCGCAAGGTGGTTGACCCGCCCACAGAAGGCCGAGACCGAAAAGTAGGAGCGGGAGGATAGGCCAGAAGGTGCGTCCTGTGACCATAGAAGACAATACCACCTTGTTGGCAGAGCAAACTGCAGCAACGAAAGAGCGGGGGCCAGCCGCGCAGCAAAAGGCCAATCAGCACTGCAGGACCGCAGAGAGGGCCGACGGCAGAGTAAACTGCAGCGTCAGCAAGCGGGGGCAAATCCGCAGAAAAAGCCCAGAAAATGTGGCGCCACCCACGATAAAAGGCAAGGTAGGCCCACCAGAGGCAGCTACCCGGGGAATACAGTCCCCAAGGGTGCAAAAGCACCAGGCCTCCGATTTCCAAATCGAAGGCAGACGCGATGGCTGTCGAGACAGGGGTCGCTAGGGTCTGGAACCTAATAAGCAAAAGGCGGAATCACAGAGACCACCCAATGCGTTATCTGAGCCGAGACGCCTAGAGACCCCAAACCCTAAATCCTAAACCCTAAACCCTAAACCATGCCAGGATAGAAACCCTCAAAGGAGCCCAGAAGGATCCTCTACAGTTCCGTTTCAAAGGTACGATACGGGGTTCCATTTAGGGTACTACAGGGGGTCAAGGGTGCTAGAGGTGTACTTTCAGGGTGCCTTTAGGGGTAATTATCTCTAAAGCTTTGTCAGGCTCAGTCAACACTCAAGCCAGACGACACTGTGGCGATGGAAACCGTACGGTTTAATTAAGTACTATGCATATTTTGAGCATCCCCGCCCACATCCCAACCTCGAACCCCGAAACCACTTCAAGAACGATCCCTAAACCCGGAACCCTTATGGTCTACCCTATAAGCTGTATATTTGAGGACTACCAGGCTTCTGATCCTAGCGCCTCACGGAAGTCCGCCAACGCCATGGCCGATTGTGCTGCGTCTGAAGCCATCATGCAGCAGATCGTGAGCGTCCATTGCATGGCAGGTTCCAGCTTTGAGCTGACAGTCAACTCTGCCGAAACGGGGTGGGAAGTAGCAGAGCGCATCGCAGCCGGAGTTGGCCACCCTGCAGGTTTACTTCTGCTGACATCCGGTGGCTGTGTCATCAATCCGCGCCAGCTGCTGCTGCATCAAGTCCAGCACGACGAGATCTGGTACGTGGTGCGCAAGCTTGGTGCGGGCCGTGTCGCAACGCTTTGGGAGCGCTTACTCAAGGGGCAAACAGTGTCTGATGCAGATGTAGCTGCCCTGAACGAAACGATGTCAGTCACCTGGTCTTCCCACAAAAACCTAAGCCAAGGCATCCAACTACCCAGTAGCCTGCAGAGTTTCACGTTCGGCGCCTTTTTCAACTGGACTCTGGAGGGCATCCAACTACCCAGCAGCCTGCAGAGTTTGACGTTTGGCCTAAATTTCAACCAGAGCCTGAAGGGCATCCAACTACCCAGCAGCCTGCAGAGTT